CAGCAGTAGGTATCATTAATTTTTTTTTTTCGGATGAGTATTGCTACATGAAGTTTATTGCTATAGTAAGAATGATTCTTCTTCCTCTTCCTCCTCCTCCTCCTCCTACTACTACTACTACTACTAGTACCAGTACTGGTACTAGTATACAACGTTATCATTGACAAACTATTGTTTCGACGAATGACAAGTGCTTCACTTGACCTGAACCCAAACGTGGTTGAGGTGTATGAGGACAGATTGTTGTGTGAACTTTGCTCAGGCTTCAGGAGTACGGCATAGCTAGTTATGAATCAATAAACTTCATCCCTACACCCACAGGCATGTCCCGAGAATTGGTATATACAGCACGGATCTACATGGCTCACCGTTTCGGTCCCCCCCCACCACTTGCGCAAGAGTACTTGAAGTTCGGGCAAGCCTTCAAAAGATCAACCGTATTAGGAAAACACATGGGCCCTCATCACATGAGCTTTGGTATTAACTCCTTAAAGGGGGGCTATATAGGGGATTATATACGGGACTACTATAGGGCATGTTAACCGGGATAATGGGAGTTTAGACTATAATTCATGTGCATCCTGCAAACTTATCCCTGCAAGATGCTGCAAAAGACCTGAAACTCCGCTTCTGACCCGGTTGCACACCCCCAAAGTCCTCAAGGGTGCATTGTTTTGTGAGAACCCATACGAGTTAAAGTCTAAACTCCTTAGCGAGTTATATAGGGCATTATATAGGGGACTACTATACTGGTTACACAGGGGAATACTCGGAGATTAGGTTATAGTTCATATGGAAGTTTCTCAAAATGCTCCTTGTGAGGCCAGAAACAAGGACCTCCCCATAGTCCCCTTACAATCCCTATACTTTGAAGAGCATCCCCAACTTCAAGAAGCTCCAAGATCACTCACCCAGGATCGTCCGAATCAACAACGAGCGTTGGAAAGGTGGGTATCCCTCTTAAAAAAAAAGTATAGTAGTCCCTATATAATCCCCTATGACCCCCCGCCCCCCTTTGAGGAGCTTAGACTATACGACGGGGGCCTCCAAAAGTTAGGGCCACATTGGGACTTGGTAATGTTTCAGGGAAGTGGGGGAGTGGATCCCTAAAAAAAGCCATATGAGCCATAGTCTAA